CAGGCTCAAGGGCAAAAGGCAGACAAAGCTGTGACGCTGTCCTGCCTTGCAAAGGAAAGCCCTTCATGTATGAGTAAGAAAGGTCTGGTTAAATTGTAGTTCATCATAAAAATCAATGAGTCTACACCGTGTGTGCTTTAAGTGGCAGGTCTTACATTGAACCATTTAAAAAATGTTAATGAAAATAGAATATTTCCAAGATACAAATGTAGAATAATTATATAACTTTAAGGGTCTCCTATGTAACATGAGTTAGAATTTATATTCTTAAAATCTTTCAGTGGACTACCTTGCAAACATTCAGTCCCCACTTCCATTCTCATCAATACACTATAGATGCTACATAGCCCTGCATCTTGTCTCCCCACCCGTGTCAACACGCTCTCTTCCCACTAAGGTTTGAGATCTATTAACTACTGTTTAGAGCTGAGACACTAGTCTACAAAGAGCCAGTTTTTAAAAAGCGACTGACAAGACCTACAGGAGAGGAGAAAATGAGAGCTAGGTGTAAGCTGAACAGCAGTGAGAGCTCAGGTGGTTGTCTTGAAGGCTCTCCACTCCGCTGTCCCCAACATCTCAGGGGGACAGGTGCGGAGGTGGATTGGGAAGCGGTGGTCTGGAGATGCAGGAGGTCCGTGTGAGTGACTTTAACGAGAGGTGTTCTTCGGAAAGTCATGGGGGAAAGTTGGGACTTAAGTTCAGAGCCATGAACTTCACCACTCTGCCCAAGCTCGACCTCTATGCTTCGGAGAAAATGAGTGAGCAGGCGACAGGTTAAGGTCACTGCCCAGTTTCAAAGGTAGTTCAGGGATTGCTGAGTTCCTTTGGCACCCTTGAGAGGTTCCACTGGAAGTGAGGTTCGGAAGCCCTAAGGTGGAGCTTTCTTAAACAGGATAGGAGTGGCTTGTGGTGGATGCCTGCGCGGAGGCAGGTGTATTTTTACCCAGGTTATTAGTCTCTTCCATGCTCTACTAATTTCCTTGGCAAATTTAATTTTAGAAAGCTAATGGCAAAGCTATTCCCCAGACTCTAAGGAACACCTCTGTCATCTTCCACTCCAGCCAGCCACTAACGGGACACTAATATATTTTGACATAAAGGAACACGACTGACTCACTTGGCTTTCATTTCACCTCTGTGCTTTTGCTCCCCCATGTCCCAGTTGCCTGTTTTCATGCTGTTGACCTCCCCGTAAAATACCAGGTGGGAGAAGACCCAGAAGCACCATGACACCAGGCTAGACAGTGTCCCCCAGAGGATGCCCAGCAGCTTGTCCCAGGTGTCTAGGGAGGTTACTGTGTATGCCTGAAACCTCTTCCAGTACCTGGCATTAGCAGATGCTATGGCTGATTAGGCAGAACCTTATCAAAGAGCAGAATCTTCAGAATGATAATGCGCTGGTAATAGCTGGCATCAATTGAGCTCTTACAATGTGCCAGATGGTTCCTAAGCACGTCACCTGTATTGACTCACTTAATTCTTATAATATCCTTATGAGATGAATACTGTTATTATCTCTTCACCCATGAGGAAACTGAAGCACAGAGTTTCCTGATTAACCAGTAAGTGGAAGAACTTTCCCTGAAGTCCAGGCAATCTGACTCGGAGTCTGAGCTGCCATTGTGCTGAGCTGCCTCCCTCAGCTACTGTGGACCCTGGGGTCCAATATAATTCCGAGGGGTTTTCCATCATGGTTTCTGTGATGGAATGCTCTAAAATTTGCTCATGGACCTCATTTACAGCAACATTTGATAGCAGGCCAAATGCAAGGCACCCTGAGCAGAAATCTGGGTTTAAGCGAGGTGCTGCTGGTAGGGAAGGAGGTAGTGCAGTTGGCAGAAGACAGGAGCTGAGAGCAAGACAGTGAATGTGTAGGAGCGTGGGTGGGAAAGCGTGACAAGTGGCTAGGGAGAGTCTCGGTTTTCTTCCATCTTGCTCAGTTGATCATTCTGGAGGTGAAATGAGATAATATGTGAATTCAGGTGGAATCTGAAAGTTCTGTTTGAATGAAAGTTCCTGTTCTATGTCCGTGGTGTGCCACCCACAGGTCAGGAAGATTGGTGGGAGGCCGAGGTTCAGGAGGCAACGGCGTGTGGTTGGAATCGGTGGGCACAGATGAGAGGCTGGGAGGTAGGAGGGTGTGGACAGGGAACAGGCACTGATGGATTTGATAAAGGCGGTGCGCACCTGATAGCCATGGGGGCTCCCTGGAGGAGGGGTACAGCGACTGGTCTGCAGTCGTTCCCTGGATCCTGTTTCCCACTCTTGCAATAGGTCTTAGTCTTGAATGCTTCAGCCCACTAGAGAAGACAAGAGCTCACTGCCAGTCGATCTGCTGTTCTCTCAAATATTGTCTGGGCAGAGGTCGTTCAACCTCCATCTTCCTGCATCTCCCGTTACAGAGTATGATGGGCCACCACATTCTGTGGTTGCAGCTTCCCTCTTATCTGCTATGCTTGCAGGAAAATATCGACTAATTACAGTCTCTGCAGGTCACTGGGATGAACTTGGAAAAAAAAAGATCAGACCCTTCTTTATTTTGGGATAAACATTTGGTATGAACTTTGTATGGTCACTCTGTATGGCTGGAAGTCTTTCCTATCTACTCACATCTAATACCTAACACTCTGTTAGGATTCTTATTTTTACTCTTGTTCTGAGTTATCATCATTCATTTATATGTTGATGTACTTTTAAAATAATTATATTATTTTTCTTAAAATGTTGATGCTCCATGTAAAATAATCCCCAAATCCCATCATGTGGAGATGACCTCTTGAGACTAGCTTGCTGAGCATTTTCTCCAGTCATTTCTCTGTATATACACAAACCCCAAAGCTCCACAGTTTACATGAATGAGATCATGCCATGTGTGATTTTCCATGACTTTTTTCTCACTTAACAGCATGATGTTGTCAGACTTTTCCCTAGACAAACGTAGATCTACACGCTCGTATAATATTTGCCCAGTGTTCTCTTGTTTGAATGTACCACAGTTGACTAAACCACCCTCGTCGATTGTTGATTGATAAAGAAAAGNTTTGCCCAGTGTTCTCTCGTTTGAATGTACCACAGTTGACTAAACCACCCTCGTCGATTGTTGATTGATAAAGAAAAGACTGAGCNATATTTGCCCAGTGTTCTCTTGTTTGAATGTACCACAGTTGACTAAACCACCCTCGTCGATTGTTGATTGATAAAGAAAAGACTGAGCACCGCGCCGAGATCATCTGACTGTGAATTCAGGCTCTACGCTTTGCTGTCAAGTCCATGGAATTCTTGGCATCATATAAGGAGCATGAAACCATTGAGTAAACGGTCCAAGGCTCTGCTCCCAGCTCTGCCACTTAGTAGCTATGTGACCATGAAATCACTTTATCTCTCTGACCCTCAGTTTCCCTGTCTGTAAATGATGGTGTGGGTGTGCATGATATTTAAAGGCTGTTCTACTAATTTACAAACCTGCTGTCAAACTGTACCCCCCATCACAACTTAAATACTTAGGTCGGTTTTGTCAGTGCCTGTCAGTGGCCAGCGCAATGGCCCATGTAAAGTGAACACCCAGCAAACACACTTGGACTGAATGACCATGCAGCTGTTGACTCTAGCTTCTCAACTTTCCCTCAAAACAGCCATCTTGCGGTTTAGTAGTGGCTTAATTTTTAATTCAGTAAACCACAGACGTTTTTATCTGTCCACCATCTCTCTTTAGAATTCATGCGCTTATATCTAAATCTGTGTGTGTGTGTGTGTGTGTGTGTGTGTGTGTATTTGGGGAAGAGAACTATGTGTGGATGTACACATATATCTATACATGGGTGTATGTGTGTTATTCTGGGAGTGAGTAGAGTGAGAGTCTATATGGAGGGAGTTAACTATACCTGGCTTTAAAATGTGGTTTTAGATAAGAGAATTAGATTCAATTATTTTTTCTCTCTCTTTTAGAGTTGCAATGAAATTAAATGTGTGTGTCTGTGTGTGTGTGTGTGTTTGAGGTGGAAATAGCAGAATTCTGACAATATTTTAAAAGCATCACTTCTTCCTTCCATCCATCCTTTCCTTCCTTCTTTCCCCTCCCTCCCTCCCTCCCTTGAAATGGATTAAGGAGCAATGCTCTTCTTTCCACTAGTCAGTGGTGATTTTTATCCCATAATATAAGAAAGGAGAAGCAACCCTCTATTTGAGAAAATCCTCTGAACCAATGACATCTAACTAGAGAATAACACTCAAGGACATGTGGGGGTTGTGTTATATTAATATATTGAATAAACGTATTGATCTGTAGTACCGATGATGAAAACAAAACTGTTTCCCTCAACTAATACCCATCATTAAACTGTTTGAAAATATTACCTAAGAAAGCCCGGGAGTCCAGGTAAAGACATTGAGAAGATGAACAGGCTGCTTCGGGAAGTTTCGTGCCCCCTTTTCTTGCTCAGTATTCTGGACTAGCGCCGACTGAGTTCCCTCCAAGTGAAGGCACCCGCCACCCCTTCCTGAAGAGAAGCGCAGCGCACGGCCCCAGCCCCGCGGGGCTGTGCCGGCGCCAGGGCCCCGGGCCGAGCGCTCGGGACCCTCCACTCGCTCTGCGCAGCTTTCCCGCCGCCTCTGCGGGTGAGCGGCCACGTTGGGCTGTGACAGCGCATTTGCCTGGAGCATTTCTTCACGGCTCTGCGCCACTGCTCACCTTTCAGATTCCCTGCGTGAATTTATTGTGGACTAAATGCATGATCTTATTAGAATTTTGATTAAGCTAATAGCAGAAATGATGCGAGTGGCCTTCATGCTTATTTCCATGCTCTCACCCTCCGGTTCAGCAAGTTGAGGCTCCTGGGGAAGTGTTCTCCAGGTCGCTGCTGCAGTGCGGTCAAGATCCCACAGCTCTGTTTGGGAGCTTTATCTTCTATGCGTGAAAGAGGACTTCGCCTTTAGCCCCTCCGGGTGTGTGGGACCCCCGGTTCCGCGCTCTCGTTTCTGACTGTGCTGTTCTTGTTTTGCAGTCCCCAGTCTGTCCCAGATCGCCTGAGGATCCGCGTGAACAAAATCAGTTTGCAAGACTATGAAGGATTCCACTACGACAAAGAGAAACTCCGGGAAGCTTGTAAGTTGGTGGAAGTGCCTAATCGATTTGATGGATAGATTCATCTCACATCTGAAAACCATGGTTAGAGAAATGGAGGGGAGGGGAGCAACATGTGAACCCCAAGTGATGATATATGGTTTATTAACCACTTTAGTCTCAGCTTTACCCAAAAGGAGAGAGCAGAAAGGTGGTGACGCCACATGGTATAGGAACACCTAGAAAACTCCTGAGACGGCGTAAGTGTCTTCCCCGAAGCTGGCACTACCAAATACTGTCGTCATTCTTCATGTGGGTGTGACAGTTATCCGTGAAGACACGTCCAACATTATTATGTGATGTGTGCTGTCAGAGAAAGGCCCATAGGATACTCAGTGTCATGATAGTGACTCATTGGTGATGTGCTATTTCAAAAATCTTTAGTTGAGACAACATATGAGTTATTTCTCTGTGTTCATGTTTTTATACACTTTCTTGAAATATAGAATTAATTTTTATTTCACCCCATCTGTCCTTCAGTATTTTGGGGGCACTGTTTTATATTTCAGTCACTATTTTAGATCCTTGTCTATGTCTTGATATATGAGAAAACTAGGTAAAATAGGCCAGAAGATAAGACCACAGCTGTGTTAGATATTAGGGTCCTGGGCCTCCCCCATAATTATGGGAACCAATGGTCAATTGCAGTGAAGTCTGAGAAGACGAAGGCCAGTGTCCAAGGACACAGGCAAGGATAGAAAGAGAGAAAGGCATTTTGTACAGAACCAGAGATCTATGAATTAAAACTCCAAACTGGCTCTAAGGGTGAGCCTGCCTGGAGTTGTAGAAAACGCAAAGGGTTGAAACTGGCCGTGAGGGAGGAGGGGATGCCCCCCTGAGATCATGACTTCCCAGCTCTGATTCCTGAGCCTGTGATCTGGAGTGGGGTTTGGCCGACGGAAATCCTGAAGTCCAGGGGCACTCCGGGGTGGGTGCAGGGCTTTTAGATGCAGCGGTGGCAGTGAGCAAGGACCCCCTGCCAAGGACCCCCTGCCATGGGGAATTCTGTGTGAAGTTGCCGCCGCCTCAGCTCTCTGCTGCTTCTGCTCCCCCAGTCCCCGTGGCTCTTTTCCATAAGCATCAGCACCTTGTTTGTCCCCAGCCTCTCCCTCTGCCTGAGCGCATGGTCTAATGTAAGTGAGGTTATAAGTGACCCACTAGCGCAAAACCTAACTTAACCCCTAATGTGATGGGCATATATGTTTGCACTGGGAGGTGGAGCTACAATGTAAATGAAACTGACTCTCAGAGATTACGGATTGTAAAGAATCGGGTTTTTATTCTTTCTCCATTCAAACTTCTAAACAAATAGATCACAGTTTTTGAAAAATGAAAAGAGAGAATGGATCTCAAGTGAGCGCTGTTTTGCAACTGTGAAGGAAGTCAGTTGGGAGCTGGGAAGCATCTGGAATTTTTGGCTTCTCTGTGAGTGGAGTGTCCATGATCTGGCCTGTCTTTTCTATGCATCGTCTGTCCATCATTGCCAGAGGTAGCTGTGATACGGGTTTTCACAAGATGACGACATTTCTTGGCAGGTGCTTTACTCATTGCATCTTAACCTGATAAAACTTCCGTGTGAGGAAATTTCCTATATTAAATAGGGGGAGATGACTTGGTATAAATGTAAACCCAATAAATTCAGCTGTGTCTTTGAGACCCCCCCCAAAAAACCAAAAACACTCAAAGAGGGAATCAAGGCCTTATCTCATTTTAAAGACTTGGGTTTAAAGAATACAACATATTAATTAGAAGTAAAGGTGGCCAACGAAGTCATTCCTCTTGTAATATTTGGTGATGATGCCTCTAACCTGTGGTTGCACAGGAAAGTTTGTCCTTTGGGGTTATAACTTGTTTCTAACCCTATTTTGCTCGGCTTCAACTTGCAACTAACCACAGATACATGGGAAGGCTGGCAGAGGTCAAGGTGAGTATAAAGGCAAACCAGTTCAAGTCCATAGGAAACATACATGCCAACATAGATATCTTATTTTAGAAGCATTAATTAAATGAAATTCATAGAACACATCTAGATAAAAGGGACTCTGCGAATGCACTGACCTGCATCCCAGAAAGAAAAAGGGAGTGGATCCTCTTAGGTCATTTATGTATTGTCAACATTCAAAGTCTAAACTAGAGCAGCACTGCACTCCCGGGTTTAAAAAATTAGTTCCCTTTCTTGATGATGTGTCAGGTGATTCGTCCAGGCCTCGTGGGCTGTTTGCCACCACTGTTTAACAGAATCTTGCTTGTGTGTCCGGCTGGTTATTTATTTAGGTTACATTACAAATCCAATGTTTGTTGTCTAGCAAAGCCCGGCTTCGGGCTGTGAGGCAGGGCTCCTTGGTAATCGCAGGATGGCAGCCCTTGTCATTGCCTTGCTTGTTTTAACATATAAAAAGACAAGTGTGCTGTTTCAAATAGTTTATTCCCTCTTCATCTAGCCCCAACTCCGCCGGGGGCAGTCACCCTAAAATAACAGCACAGAAAGGTTAGTCTTTGCCAGCCCTTCCACAGCTCCCGCCGGTAGATTTCAGACTCGCCTGAAGCAGTTCGAGTCTTAGTCACTGGATTTATCAGTTATGAACCCTCAAGATAGTGGTTATGATGTCCGAGGGCAGAAAGTCTACTCAACCGAAGAGGCAGAACGTAAAGAGAAAGTGACCATGTTAAAAAAATTCTTAAAGTGAATTTATAATAATGACAGCAGGGACTCACTCTTATAATCTGAATAAAGTATATAAAAGAGTCCATAATAAAGTAAGTAACCATACTGTTGTTGGGGCCCAAGACAGGCTGCCCCCAAATATCCCACAATAGCTAATATTGATTATTTCGAATTAAAGTTACTTACTTAAGAAACAGCCAGTGCAAGAAAAACACTGACCTCTGTGTTGCCCTGAAAGTAAGAGATAAATCTGCCACGTTAAAGGTACTCTTTTTGGACCTGGAGGCAAAGAATTCTCTTATCATTAGATTTAAAGAACCCAGAGCCAAAGAGTCTGTATAAACAAACCGTGTGGCCTCTTTATTAATTTACTACCCAAGCCCAAACTTTGTTTAGGTTCCTCACTAATCAGTACCAAACCTTTCTTAGATAACTTTCTGATGAACATAAACTTTTTGTCCTGTCAATTGTTCACAGATTTATTATTTGTCTAAAAGTATAAAATGGTGTCTGGTTCAATCATTTCTTTGAGCTTCATTTTGTGATCGCAGTATCATATTACACACATTAAATTATTTTTCTCCTGTTAATCTAATCTTGTGCCAATTTTATTGTTTTATTATTAGTTTAGCTGTAAGAAGTAAAAAAGTTTAGGGGGGGGTGGGAATTCTTCCCTTTCCCTGACATAGTCTAGGTAAAGAATAATCGGTTTTGAAAATCTGTTATCTTCTGTCCCCGTATATTTGGCCCCCTTTATCCTTACTGCCCTCCCACCCCCTTTTGACTTTGGGTGGTGGGCACACAATGCAATATACGGATCATGTATCATAGAAATGTACACTTGAAACCTATATGATCCTATTAACCAATGTCACCCCCAAAAATTTAATTTAGAAAATCTTTTAAAAAAGGAAATCTGTTATATTTCTAACTTGAAAAGAGTTTCATTGATACATATCCTAGATATAAAAAGTTATTCTAGATAGGAAAATGTTTTTATATCTAGAATAACTTGATATTGGCCAAGATTTAACTCTATCCCACATAAACTGTCTAAACCTAACTTCTGTCATTAGCTTACTCTGCACTTTGGAGTTGCTATGATAATTCATACAAGTCTAGAGCTTAAAACACAAAAGCAAGAACCAGTTTAGAACTAAGTGAAAACAGATGTAGCCTTATAAAAGGAGGAGGGGACTGACATTTGTTGTATATCAAATATAACCTTCAACAACCCTTTCACATGCATTAGCTCAGTGTAATGGATGTTATCTGGATATTTATAGTATATATAATGTATAATATGCAATGTATAAAATATAATATATAGTGTCAGTATATTATTCTCTGGTAAAGACTAAAGATATGGTAATGGAACTTTCCTGTCTTCTGCTTACTGACTTAGTAGAAGAGTCAGAAATGTTTGTGTTTGAACCTCAGTTGCAACTTTGAGAGAGCGATTTTCCTGAGGACCAAATATCTCATCTCTAAAATGAGAATATAATTGCAACCTCATAGAGTGTTGAGGGCTAAATGTAATCTTGTATATGAAACCCCTGGTGCAACCCCAGATGAAACCATCTGGCACGTTAGCGTGCTCTCCAAAGACGGCAGCTAGGATTGTTGTGGGGGCTGTTGCTAGAGACACACTCCTGTCACACTGCTCCTTAACCTCAGGTCCAAAGGCCAGGCTCAGAGCAGGTGACCTCTTCTGCACATACCTCTCACTCAAAGTGCACACACTGCCACCCTCCACATCACTTTCTCACATTCAAAAATAGAACTGAAAACACTGTAAACATCCCATAAAGATTGTGGGAACAAAATATAGTTAATCATTCCATTTACTTTTACTGTGCCCACTAGTACAAGAGACTGCTGTGATGGCCAGGTGTTTAAACCTATGAAACGTCAACACTGAATGGCCGTATTTGGTGATTTGGCAGGATATCTGCTAATTCCCTTTCTTAACTTGTAATACAGTCACATAATTGCATCATCTGGCATCCATCACTGAATTTTTAAAAAGAAAATCTTTTTGTTTGGGGAATAGTTACAGATTTACAAAAAAGTTGCAAAGATACTACTGGAAGTTCTACTACATTCCTCTCCCAGTTTCCCCACTGTTCAGCCTTTTATATTACCATGGTCGCTTTGTCGATGAAGGTAATGGTGCTTTATTACTATTAACTAAATGTTTGTGTTCAAGGATTTAATCCAGGACATCACACTGCATTGGGATGGCATGTCTCCCAGTCTTCTTAGTTGCTCGGTCTTTCTTTTTTTTTTTCTTTCATGACCTTGGTGGTCTTGAGGG